TGGAACTGTGTGCCATCTCTGCTCCTCCTTGACAGACTGAGCAGTACTGCTCAGCTGGGGAACCACTTCCCTGGTCCATGCCACCAAGCCAGTAGGCTCCCTCGGGACTTTTTTTCCCCCTCTTTTCTCAGTTTCTTGTCTCTCTCTGCCTTCCTTCCTTTCCTTTCTCCTGAACACCTAGTGCCATGTGCCATCTCTGCTCCTTCTTGTTGGGTTGTTCTGTGCTGCTTAGCTGGGGAGCCACTTCCCCGGTCTGCACCGCCATGCAGGCGGGCTCCCTTGGGGCATTTTTTTTCTTTTTTTCTTGGTTTCTTGTCTCTCCTACCTTCCTTCCTTTCCTTTCTCCTAACCACCTGGCTGTGTGTGCCTTTCTCTCTTTTTTTTTTTTTCCAGGTTCTTAACTCTCTCTCCCTTTCTTCTTTTCCTTTCTTCCACCCACCTAGCTATCTATGCTGTCTCTGCCCCTCCTTGATGGGCTGTGCCACACTGCCTGGCTAGAAAGCCATTGGCACACAGCTTCCCCAGACCTGTACCACTCCAACGGCAGGCTCTTTCAGCACCTTTTTGTTTTTTTGGCTTCTGTTTCTCTGTCTTCTCTCCCTTCTTTCTCACACCCACTTAGCTCCACACATCACGTCCTCCCCCTTCCCCCCTGACTATCTACACTGCGCACTCAGCACTGGACCCTTGAGCGCCATAGTCACGAACCACTGGACCCTGCCCTTCACTGCCCCCAGCCCCAATCTGTCAGCCCCAGTACTTGCTGCAAACAACCTATCCCTGCTGATCCCCATCCACTGGACCTGCCCTCCTGCATCATGGGTGAGCGACTGGCCCTGCCCACCTGGACAAGGTGGTGAGAAGTATCATGCCCACAGATGAGAAAACAACAAAGAATGGCCAACCCTCATGCCCACACATAACCAAATAAAACAAAAAAGCGGGACAAAACAAGTTTACAATCAAAAAAGGAAGAAAATGATTCCTGAATGTCCCAAAGACAGCAGACAATATAAAAACATTAAAAAAAAAGGACAGGATGGCTCAGTAAGCATAAAAAATAAAACACCAGATGACCTTCCTTCCAGTAGAAGAGAAGGCACTGGAACTACCTGATAGGGAATTCAAAACACAATATTCAGGGCTCTCCAAGAGATTAAGGAAAATGCAGACAAAAATGAGGAAAAATATACAAAATCATGGAGAAAAGACAAAACAATGGAAGAAATCAGGAAAATAATACAGGAACAAAATGTCAAACAACTAGAAATCATACAAAAACAGCAATTAGAAATCCAAAAGATAAACAAGATTTCAGAAATGACACTGTCATAGAAGGTTTGAGGCGCAACTTTGAAACAATGGAAGACAGGATCAGTGAAATTGAAGAAAATCCTTGGATACCACTTTGAGGAAAAAGAGAAAAGAACAAAGAAAAATGAAGAAACCCTAAGAATGATGTGGGATACAATCAAAAGCAAAAATTTGTGAGTGATTAGAGTTCCAGGACGGGGGAGAAAATGGAAAACACAGACAGGATCATAGAAGACTCACTGACAGAAAACTTCCCTAATATCATGAAAGATGAAAAGATGACCATCCAAGAAGCTCAACAAACTCCATACAGGATAGACCCCCAAAAGAAAATCACCAAGACATATCATAATCACACTTGCTAAAGAAAGTATCCTGAGCAGCTCAAGAAAAACGAGAAGTCACATACAGAGGGGAAGCAATAAGACTAAGCTCTGATTGCTCAGCAGAAACCAATGCAGGCAAGAAGGCAATGGGATGACATATATAAAACTTTGAAAGAAAAAAATTGCCAACCAAAAATAATATATCCTGCAAAACTCTTGCTCAGATATGATGGTAAAATTAGGACATTTCCAGATAAACAGAAATTAAGGGAATATGTAAAAACCAAACCAAACTTAGAAGAATTATTTAGGGGAGTCCTTCAGTTAGAGAACAAACAACATCAGACAACAGCCTGAATCTAGGACCCAAGACTGCATCAGCCAGATACCAACCTAGGTAATGAACTCTCAAGGATAAAACAAAACTAAAAGATTTACAACAGGGAAACAAAGAAGTTAATCTGTAAGTGAACAGAACAATAAAGGAGGGAATAAACAATGTAGGTATAGAATTTTCAAATGGACATGAAGTCAAGGTGATAATCAAGTAATAAAAGACTGGTTCAAACTTAGGAAGGTAGGGGTAAATTTCAAGGTAACCACAAAGAAAGTTAACAAACCTACTCATCAAAATAAAGAAGAAAAACATCAAGTCTCAGTAAACACAAAATCTACAAAAATGAAAGAAATGAAAAAAATCTACAAACAAAAGGAATTCAGCACAGGAGAGTAAGAGGAATGAAGAAAACGTCAGCACCACACACACACAAAAAAAATACCATTGCCATCGAGTTGATTCCAACTCATAGCGACCACAAAGAAAAAGCCCTACAAAATGACAGCAATAAACTCACACCTCTCAATAATCATACCAAATACAAATGACTTAAATGCACCTATAAAGAGACAGAGAGTGACAGAATGGATAAAAATACAGGACCCATCAATATGCTGTCTATCAGAGACACACCTTAGAAGCAAAGACCTAAATTTTAAAAGCAAAGGATGGAAAAAAATATATCAAGCAAACAACTACCAAAAAAGAGCAAGAGTAGCAATACCAATCTCAGATAAAATAGAGTTTAAAACAGAATCCACCATAAAAGACAAAGAAGGGCATTATATAATGATTAAAGGGACAATCCACCATGAAGACATAACCATAATAAATATCTATGCACCCAATGATAGGGCTCCAAAATACATAAAACAAACTCTAACAGTACTGAAAAGAGAAATTGACAGTTCCACAATAATAGTAAGAGGCTTCACACTCAAAATGGATTGCCAGGTTTTAAGTTGTGGACAATGATATTATGCATTTACCACAGTTTGGGAGATGAGTAAAATCATTGGCTCAGGAAGAATAATCAATTAGTTTGAAGTAAATAATATATCTAAACCACTGATACATGGTAGGTTAATAATAAATGTTGGTTCACCCTTCTCCTAATAAATTATTTTTAATAATGACAAGCCTTAGAAAAAAAGTTTCACCCAAAACCTCACCACGTTGTACAATTTGTCACACTATCTTTTTTCTTTGATATGAAATGTGAATATTTTAAATTATTTATAGACAAATTTCTAAATTTTCAAATATGGATATTGCTAGAAAAATCAGGTGCATATGTTCCAGATAACATAGGGTCATTTATTCCTTCTTAAAGTCTCACTGCTTAAATATTCAGTGTTATCCCCCCTTCTTCCTTCTAAAAAGCTTTATAACCAATATTTCTCTTCAACCTAAATTCTGTAGAATAATCAGTTAAAATGAGAGGTGTTCCTAGTAAGACATGAAGAAATTCAGTAGGAATAATTCAAAGGATGGCACTATCTTTAAAACAATAGAGGTCACATAGTTGGATATTGACTACTTAAACAGTTTTTGCATAAGTACTTGATGTGCGAGTCCCTGTATGGCACTCAGTCAATGGTTCAAGTCCACTCAGGCACCTCAGAAGAAAGGCCTTGCAATCTACATCTAAAAAATCAGCCACTGAAAATCTTACAGAGAACAGTTCTACTCTGACACACATGGAGGTTCTCCATGAGTAGGAAACTGACTCAGTGGCAACTGGAAATAGATACATAAGTTAAGAGACTAAGAAAAATGGTGACTTGATGTTTGAATAAATGGCTAGATTCTGGTCAAAACAAGACTCAGGAAATTTCTGGACTATTTTCTAATAGGTCCTTTGGACATGTGTTAAAAGATAGTGAGTCATTATGTTCTAATTTATCTGTCCTATATTTATTTATTTTTACTTTATGTAATCTACTCTTTCTGGTCATTGAGAAAAAAGAAATTGGTATTTTTGTACTTTTCTGAAAATTATCAGGTACTGTGAAAGTTATTGGTGCCCTAGTGGTGTAGTGGTTAAGAGCTCAGCTACTAACCAAAAGGCCACTCATTGGAAACCCTATGGGATAGTTCTGCTCTGTCCTATAGGGTTGCTATGAGTCAGAACCGACTCAATGGCAATGGATTTGGTTTGTTTTGTTTGTTTGGTAGAAGTTATTAAAATAATTACGTTTGTTTATCCCTGAAAATTTTCCCATTTGATGCTGAGCTCCAGAGCAAACTTCCTCTTAGGAAGATACAGTATTACATGTTACTATTATTTGTCTCTTCTGAATGGCAGGGGAGGGGGAATGACTTGACAGGTAGTGGGTGGTAAGAGAAAATTACTATTATCTGAATACCTACTATGTACCAGGTGTTCTTTGCATTCTCGTATTTAATCCTCACAAATATCCAGTAAGGTAATTATTATATTGTTCATTTTCTAAATAATTAGTAGCTCAGAGAGCTTGAGTCACTTATACAAGATCACTCACCTTGTTGCAGCAAAAACAGAATTTAACCCCAGTTTGCTAGATTCCAAATCTCTTGTGACTTCTGCTATATCACACTGCCTCCCAAGTAGGAAGGACAATGAGAAGAGCAACAAATCCTAGAACCCTAAGGGACCTTAGTATTTTGTGTTGTCTTATTGTTGCCAAGAACCTAGTAGCACATGGTTCAGTTAGAACCCCAGGGTTCCGAGGGTAATGTGAGCATCCAAAAAAGATATTTAAATGGAGGGAAATTGCGGGGACAAGAGTACAAAATCAGCCGCAAAATGTCTGTACACTGATTTGTCACTATTCCACTCTCTCTGCAAATATATTTGCTAGATAGAATATAGAATTGATAAGTATTTAATGAAAATTACTCAGCACTTTTGTCTTTTTTTCTAATAGTATAGTGCTAGGCTTTGTTTGTTGCTTTTTGTTTAACAGAGCCATTTAGTTTAATTATACGTTAACTCTGTTTAACATTTTTCTTTATGCCCCATTTTTTTCCCCTAAACGCAGGCTGTATTAGGTCCTCTGGCTCTAGAATCAGCAAGAATCAGCGCACACCATTTGGAAGGGTATGCCATGGATGTGATGACATTAGCATTTTTATCCATTTTGATCTCCGCTCCAAATGGAGCTCTTCTTATTGGCATACTGGGGCCCAAAATGCTTACCCGCACTGATCCAAGACACTATAAAAAGTCTGTTGGTACACTATTAATACATCATTAAAAAATTTATTTGCCACCACCTGCCTGGTTCTTTTAATAAATTATCTTAAATGAGAGAAAAATCAAAAATTACAAATATGTGGAGATTGCACATTGAACCCACTATTTAGTAAATATGTGACCTTGTTATATGGCTTACCTGTAATTTTTATTCTGAAGTTAATTTAATAAAAATAGTATTAAATGAAATGACCCCTTAGTATTAAATAAATTTGTAAATACTCTAGGATAGTTTAAAATGATTATAAGGCTTAATTTAATGTCATAACACAAACTAAGCATAATGAAAAATATAATGAACTAATGACAAAGACAAAACTCTAAATATTAAACTTAGATATTCATAAGTCTCCAAACAGAAGGAATGGAACTCTCCATCACTTTAGTAATTCAGTTAAAAAGCCCACCAGAAAAAGAAGAGAAATAAAAAATGACTGGAATAAAACATATCAACTGTGAATTGAATGTTGTTTTTGTAGGTGCCGCCAAGTCGGTTCCAACTCATAGCGACCCTATGTACAACAGAAGGAAACACTGCCTGGTTCTGCACCACACTCACAATTGTTGCTATGCTTGAGCCCATCGTTGCAGCCAATCCATCTCATTGAGGGTCTTCCTCTTTTTTGCTGACCCTTTATGTTACCAAGCATGATATCCTTCTCCAGGGACTGATTCTTCCTGATAATGTGTCCAAACTATGTGAGAGTAGTCTCACCATCCTTGCTTCTGAGGAGCATTCTGGTTGTACTTCTTCCAAGACAGATTTATTCATTCTTTTGGCAGTCCATGGTATATTCAGTATTCTTCGCCAACACCACCATTCAAAGACATCAATTCTTCTTTGGTCTTCCTTATTCGTTGTCCAGCTTTCGCGCGCATATGATGCGATTGAAAATACCATGGCTTGGGTCAGGCGCACCTTAGTCGTCAAGGTGTTATCTTTGCTTTTCAACACTTTAATATGGCAGGGTATCCAACAACTTTCATAGACTCATTCATGCTTTGTTTCAACTTTGAATAAACATTGTTTGTACCTTTACACAAATATCTATCAAAACTTGTATTATCTCCACCAAAAGAAGTATAATTTTTTCATTAACTCTCAATTATTAGATTTCTATTGGTGCATAACAAATTACTACTAACTCTGTTGTTATCATTTGGTGCTGTCCAGTTGGTTCCAATTCACAGCAGCCACAACAGAATAAAACACTGCCTGGTCCTGCACCATCCTCACAATCACTGCTGTATTTGAGCCACTGTATCAGCCCATCTTGTTGAAGGTCTTCCTCCTTTTTGATGAAACCTCTACTTTACTAAGTATGATATCCTCCAGAGACTGGTCCCTCCTGATAACATGTCCAAAGTATATGCGATGAAGTCTCACCATCCTTACTTCTAAGGAGCATTCTGGCTGTACTTCTTCCAAGACAGATTTCTTCGTTCTTCTAGCAGTGCATAGTATATTCAATATTCTTGGGCAACACCATAATTCAAAAGCATTAATTCTTCTGCGGTCTTCCTTATTCATTACCCAGCTTTCGCATGCATACAAGGCAACTGAAAACACCATGGCCTGGGTCAGGCACACCTTAGTCCTCAAGGTGACATCTTTGCTTTTTAACACTTTAAAGAGGTATTTTGCAGCAGATTTGCCCAATGCAGCATGCCATTTGATTTCTTGACTGCTGCTTCCATGGGTGTTGATTATGAATCCAAGTAAAATGAAATCCTTGACTTCAATCTTTTCTCCGTTTTTCATGATGTTGTTTATTGGTCCAGTTGTGAGGATTTTTGTTTTCTTTATGTTGAAGTGTAATCCATAGTGAAGGCTGTAGTCTTTGATCTTCACCAGTTAAGTGTTTCAAGTCCTCTTTGCTTTGAGCAAGCAAGGTTGTGTCATCTGCATATCATAGGTTATTAATGAGTCTTCCTCCAATCCTGATGCTTCGTTCTTCTTCATATAGTCCAGTTTCTCAGATTATATTCTCAGCATACAGATTAAGTATGGCGAAAGGATACCACCCTGATGCACACCTTTCCTGATTTTAAACCATACAATATCCCCTTGTTCTGTTCGAGCCACTGACTGCCTCTTGGTCTAAGTACAGGTTCCTCTTGAGCACAATTAAGTGTTCTGGAATTCCCATTCTTCGCAGTGTTATCCAAAATTTGTTATGATCCACACAATCAAATGCCTTTGCATAGTCAGTAAAACACAGGTAAACATCTTGCTGGTATTCTCTGCTTTCAGCCAAGATCCATCTGACATCAGCAATGATATCCCTGGTTCCACACCCTCTTCTGAATCCGGCTTGAATTTCTGGCAGTTCCCAGTTGATATACTGCTGCAAACGTTTTTTAATTATCTAGCAAAATTTAACCTGCGTGTGATGTTAATGATATTGTTCGAAAATTTTTGCATTCTGTTGGCTCACCTTTCTTTGGAGTGGGTACAAGTATGGATCTCTTCCAGTCAGTTGGCCAGGTAGCTGCCTTCCAAATTTCTTGGCATAGATGAGTGAGCGCTTCCAGCATTGCACGTATTTGTTGAAACATCTCCATTGGTATTCCGTCAATTCCTGGAGCCTTGTTTTTCCCCAATGCCTTCAGTGCAGCTTGGACTTCTTCCTTCAGTACCATCGGGTCTTGATCACATGCTACCTCCTGAAATGACTGAACATCGACCAATTCTTTTTGGTACAGTCACTCTGTGTATTCCCTTCCATCTTCTTTTGATGCTTCCTGCATCATTCAATATCTTGCCCATAGAATCCTTCAGTATTGCAACTCGAGGCTTGACTTTTTTCTTCAGTTCTTTCAGCTTGAGAAATGCCAAGTGTGTTCTTCCCTTTTGGTTTTCTAACTCTAGGTAGTTGCACATTTCATTATAATACTTTACTTTTTCTTCTAGAGGGTCAGTGAAAAAGAGGAAGACCCTCAACCAGATGAATTGACACAGTGGCTGCAACAATGGGCTCAAATATAGCAACGATTGTGAGGATGTGTTTCGTTCTGCTGTACATAGGGTCACTATGAGTCAGAACCAACTAAATGGCACCAAACAACAGCAACAACAACTACCTCCAGAAGTACTAAGTCAACTAGTCTACCTCTGATTTGTTCTAAAATGGTTGCATGAGTGTTCCATGGTGTGTGGACTTTTATTCAACCGCTCCTATATTAATATACATTTATTTAACTTCCAGGTATTTTCCACTAAGATCAATATTACAATAAACAATAACAGTATTGCAGTAAGCAAACATATACATATGTTCATACATATTGGTGCTTTTATTTTTATGGGATTTTTGTGGCAAAGGATACATTAATTGCATTTTCCCAAATGTTACCAAACTGTTTTCCAAAAAGAGTGTGACAAGCATATTTCCACTACCAATGTATGAGAGTACTTTATCCCCTTCTCCAAAATCCCCACAGGCAATAGGTATTGCTCTTCCTAATATGTGACTGTCTAATGGGATATGAGGTGACAACCGTTTGTGATTTGTGTTTCCCTGATTTCTAGTGAGTTTGAGCATGACTTTACACGTTTTGGGCATTTGAATTTGCCCTGTTATTGTTATGTCTTTGTATTCTTATTATTTGCCCACGTTTTTGTGTTGTTGGCTTTTTTCTTGTTCATTTGTAAGTACTTGCTGTATATTATGTATTATCTTTGTCTATCACATACATATATTGGTGTATATTAGTATATAAGTGTAGATTTTAACCCTTTGTAACCCACATTGCAATTTCTCCCCGCATTTATTACTGGTCTTTTGACTCTTATCTGTTTTGTCACATAAGAGATACTATTTTATGTAGCACATCAAAGCCTTAAAATTGGGGACTTAATTTTTCTTTCTGAATTGAAATATCACATTTGTCATATATTGAATTCTCATCTATATGTAGATTCTCAAATCTTTTCTAATCTTGTTTATTCTTATTTCAGTTATTTTTATCCTATTAATTGACTTAATCCCAATGGCTTTATGCTTTGTGCTAACACCTGCTAAGAGAAGTTCCTCTCATTTTTTTTGACTATTTTATAGAAACCTGAAGATAATGTAATCCAATTTTTAAATGCTCTTGGGATTATAACGTGAATTATATTGGATTTACATACTAACTTTGAGAGAATTTGTATTTCTGTGACAGTAAGTATTCCAATGTGCTGCTCTAAATTGCATGCAGCATATTCAAGTGAACATCTGTATATCTTTATCTTATTTCTCTTTTTGGCAGCTGTTATGGATTGAATTGTGTCCTCCCAAAGTATGTGTTGGAATTCTAACCCCTATAGGTGTCGATGTAATCCCATTTGGGAACAAAGTTTTTGTTATATTAATAAGGCCATATCAATGTAGAATGTATCCTTAACCTAATCACTTCTGAGTTATAAAAAGAGCAGATTAGACACAGAGGCAAGCACATACAGGGTGAAGACAGATGCTATCTGAGGAAAGCAGATGAATCTACAAGCCCAGGAATACCAAGGATTGCCAGCTACTAGAAGCTAAAATGGATCCCTGGTGGCATAGTGGTTAAGTGTTCAGCTGTTAAGGAAAAAGGTCGGCAGTTCAAATCCACCAGCCACTCCTCGGAAACCCTATGGGGCAGTTCTACTCTGTCCTACAGGGTTGCTATGAGTCGGAAACGACTTGACAGCACCTAACAACAACAACAGAAGCTAAAATAGACAAAGAAGGACCTCCACGTAGAGCCACACTCTGAATTCGGACTTCTAGCCTCCTGAACTGTGAAAAAAATTAACTTCTGTTCTTTAAAGCCACCTACTTATGGCATTTCTGTTACAACAGCACTAGTTACAAAGACAGCAGCATTCAACATACTTCTGAGATTTGAGTTTCTTAAATTTGTTGAATGAATGTGATTGATTCACTATTGTTAGTGTGATAGTACAGAGGAATGTATGATGGCTATTAATGGAAAATTACAGGAAATTTTAAAATGTAGTGAATTTTTGCCAATACAGAGTTCATCTCTGTAGTTATGCAATTTACTACCCTTTTCTCCTTTTCTGTATTATTTTGGAAAATTACAGCCTCATAATAATAGAGATTAGGAATTTGTTAACATTGTGGCTCATCTATTTGACAAGTGTTCTAAGAGAATAGAGTCACAAATATACTCTTTCACCATAATGGTTGAAATTCGATTTTTTTTTTGTTTTTGTAAGCAAAAATCAAGTATTTAAACCAAAAGAAAGAGAGTGAAGTCATCTCTTTGTCTTAAAGACATAGATATGATTTTCTGAGCAGGTTTTCAGTGTTCTTCATTGTTCTGCAAAATAATTGGTAATAAATACACACTGAAATATGGACTGTATACTAATTAATATTAAAATGATGCTTGCCTACAACACGACTTTACTAGATTCATGCAAATGATAAAAGTAGTTGACTGGCCGTACATGATAAATTAAAGTGGGCTTCCAGTAAAAGACCATTATGACAAACCAAAGCACAACCTCAGATCATGCAACACAGCTAAAACCAAACAAACAGCTGTGTTGGTATTCTGCAATCCAACCTGTGCAATGATAGTAAGGCA